TTTATTTAATAAAGAAGCAAAAAATTGTTAATGGTGATGTCACCTATGCATTTGTCCTCCAATAGAACATAATTTCATGAAAGAACCAATCAAAATACATGAAGAACTCAGCTTATTATACAAAACCTTATCGATGGTAGAAATGAGGTCAAAGATATTCAAAGATAAAGGAGGCACAGTACATTAGTTTTGAAAACTGTTGACATCCTTTCTATGACCAAGGTTATAGACTAGAAAATTGTGTTTGATTTCTTTTTTATTTTGATTTCTATAACATTGCAATTTTTATGCCAGCATAATATGCTAAAGTTTTCAGAAAATCATGCACATGTGAAAATGAATTGATCATTGCAATGTTGTTTGTGCTGTCATTGTTTTTTTTTACCTTGTGTTATGTGATGACTTCAATGATAAATATTTCAGTATAATAATTGCTCACTCAGGTGATCATAGGGATGTGCATGCTCTGATTGGTCAAGGATTGCATCATATCTTGCTATAATCACAGTGCACAGGGTGATCATAATAGCAGTGCCAAATTTCAAAATGGCTGCCTCATGTTCTGTCAGATGTTACAAGGGAGTGACAAATGCAGTAGGAGAAAATTAAATTGCAAAGAGCACAAAAGTTGCTAAAAGACTAGCAGAACACTTTAAAAAAAAATTAAAGGGATAAAGTTTTTGGCATTAAAAAAATAAACCTCTTAAAACTGCTTTCTCATCTTGATATAGATAATCAATACAATTGTAACAAAATGTGTGCAATGTTTTCTTTATTTATGGAATTTATAATAGAATTTGAAAGCACCGGACTGATTATGTCAAAACAATTATTTGCTGTAGGCAAAGGGAAGGTCATTGAATAATATTCACTTGACCTTCAGCAAATATTTATCAATTTTTATTCACTATTATGTCATTTTACCATATTAGGCAATGGAATGCACAAAATATGCCTTGGTTGTACACCTGTATAGCCTGTAGAACAGGGTAAGAATAGGGATAGAAGTGATGTGTGTGAACTTTGGTTTCTTTTCCAATTTTTAGGCATGATTTTTTCAGCACTGAACTTTAAAGCCAACAAGAATTTTTTCTGGTCATCAAGAACACTTAAATGGTTTCTTTTCTGTTGGTTTTTTCTTTCATGCACATCTTATGTGATGGCCACACAAATTTTCAAAAACTAGAAACCAAAAGACTAGAAAATGAAACGAGTGGAATAATAAATCCCTCATTCGATGGTTTAACATATGATATGTGTGGACATTTCCACTTTCCATTTTCCACCTTAACAGGTTCTTCTTCAAAAATTCCCTCAAGTGTACCACTGTTAAATTTTGGATATTCACCACTGTTCACATTTCAAAAATTAAAGAAAGTGGAACTTGTCAAAAATGATTTTGAAAAGGCACAAATAGTTACACATCACTGTTATTGAACCTTATTTCCTGGCAAATGAAAGCATATTTTGAGCTGATTGATATCATTGCCTATTTACACTTACTGTTATTATTGCTTACACTAAAAGTGCCTCTGTGGTGGACCCCTTACCAAAGCAAAAGTAAGGGAATGGTATGGGACTGCTTGGACCATATCTGACCCATAGATGGGAATGGTATGGGAAGGTAACCTGGGTATATGGAATTGATATGGGGCCAAATTTTACCAAATTTTTAACTATGGGACATGCATGGGAAGAAAATAGAAGGCTTCTTATTTTATGGGAAACCTATGGGAATAAGGTTCCCATACACATCCCATACCAATAAGAATTCCCACAACTGTCCTTACCTATGGCATTGATATGGGACATTCATTATGAAGAGTATACCATAGATTACCCATACCAGCTGACAGGTGTTCATCATGCCCCATAGATTTCCCATTGTGAAAACTGTATGGGATCTCTATGGGACATTCACTCTCCATATTTCAACCATTTCAGCTCTTGTTTCCCAAAGATCTCCCATGACAGTAGTTCTATGGGAAATCTATGGGACATATCTATGCTCATAATGGCAATGGGAAAACACATGTCCACACATTGAGTAATTGACAATTTTATTAATTGGACTGAGACAATAATGTCCTCTATTGTAAACAGAGAGCAAAAACCATTAATTATTCTGACAGGCTACATTTTTTTAAACTGAAATGACCATAAAAGTCTAAGAATATTTTACATGAGTCAAGAGATAACTTTGCAACACTCTGACATGCTTCCCTAATAAAAATAGATGAAAATTTCATCAAGTTTCTGTTCACCTATGCATTGTCATTGTGTTACATGTCATAATTCAAGTGTTAACTTGAGTTTTATGAAACTTACAACAATATCAACATGCATATACTGCATCATACTTTGTTGAATAATAGATCCTTCTCATTGTCACCATGAACTGAAGGCCTTTTTTCAAAAAAGTTTTTCATGTTTGAAAAATTAAGTTTGGTAGCAAAGATTCAAGGCTTTATATTAAATGAAATCTTTGCAGACTGTAAGTAGGAAAATAACAAGCTACATGTTCCTTATTACATGAAATCTTTGCAATGCCTAAACTTTGCGAATTTGGCAATTAATTTTAAAATATTGAAAAGTTTAAGTGGCATGAAAAACAAGTTTTGTGTACATAACATGATGTGAAAATTATGTGATGCATTAGGTAAAAATCAAGAAAGAATAAGTTAAATTACAGTTTGCAAGTCCAAAAGAAAATGAAAAGTGAAGTTAACTTTGAAGATGTGAGTGTCAACGGACCTGAAGCTTGATAACATAATAGTTTTTGAAACTTATTTGTACAACAATCCTTATATTTAGGTCAAAGAATTTTTACAGTAAATTGCCAAAAAGGTAAATCACCTCACTGATAAACACAGAATAAAAGTGACTCAAAATACAAAACCTTTTGCAAAATTGTGAAATGCATAAACCTCAAAATCACAAAATTAATGTGGTGCGAAAATTTAATGTAATAAGGCTTCAGCCCTCTTAACTTGGTGAAATCGGTACTTTAGTCCATCAACAAATTCTGAATCTGAAGAAAAAGAGACCCTTCTATAAAACATAGCTGAACGTTCTTGATGTAGAGGGCATACTAGCATTTTACATTTCCCTGTAATCTATGCTTAAATTGTATTCAGTAACAGCTCATATGCAAAAGAGGCATGCATTAATTTTTGCAGTTCCAGGTTCAAATCCCTGTATCAGAATGCACATGATTTGTGTGAAATCCCCACCTCCCCGGACCCAAAAAACTGTCCATTGATGTCGATTGACTTGCAAATGACGTAGGTGTCCAATTACAGGTATCCGATTTGAAGTATGCAGACATTGGATACCAGTACATGTACAGTACCAACCTGATCATGCACCAATTACATGACAAATAGGCCTCTCCAGAACCAGAATTTTGTTATAGATAATGAAAATAATAACGATATTATGTTATAAATTATGACGACTGTTGGACTGTGGTAGTAGCATTTGAAAATACTTGAAAAGTGGCTGGGTATTCTGAAGTTTAGCCAATAATAATAAACACAATTACACACTTAGTCTTGCACTTACCAGAGAAAAACTTAAGCAGCCGATTTTCAATAGGCACTTCAATGAAGAATCCACCGTTGTTTTGGATGCTTTTGCCACAAATGGTACAGTTTCCTTTGACATCTTTGCCATAATATGCCTTGCAGAAACCACAGAAGTAATGCTTGACAACATTTCCCTTCGCTCTGCTCAGAAATTGGAACAGGTTGTTTACTGTTGTCTTGCAGTTGTTAGGCCGGGGACAGTGAGCCTCTATTACTGCAAGCAAATCATTGAATGCTTCACGTGTAAGCTTGTGCTTAAACACGAAAGATAGCAACAACACAACACTTGAGTTACTTGTGATTGGAGCTCCCGAATATAGCATGTCATCTGATTCTGCTCCACAATGTTCTGGAATGCATTCAGTGTCTATTTCATCAGGGTTCTCACAGTCACTGAAAATGTCCGAGCAAGCATCCTCGTCTTTGACAAATTGTTCAAAAGTGTTAGTATCCGCGGAATCAAACAGTTCAAATTCGTCTCCGCTTATCCTCGAATTATTTTCTTCTTCCAATCCAAATGTGCTTGAATCTTCCATGTCTTGCACTTGAAAATAGCTGCAGTCTTCACCTAAAATCATGCTGTTTGTTTCTGCTTCGAATATTTCAGCAGGATCGCCAGTACAAAGAGGCTGTGCATGTCGCGTGTCGGGAATCATTTCTTCAACATCGCATTTGTTTAAATCATTTCGTGTACCAGTTGATGATTGTTTCGCTTTATAGAGGTTGCCTTTTCGTCTTCTTGCCGCTGGAAATTTGTATGGATTAGAATGACGCATGTATTCTCGGTAGCGACCTCTTTGTTTTCGTGCAACCTTCTCGCCATCGTCGGCCATGTTTGTTGACTTAAAGTCTAGTTCCCGGTCCCTCACACGTTAACCCTACACGCGTTGTTATTCAAGTGCGCGTGCGTAGTGGACTTTCGGACTCAACACAAGAACACGTGGTGTTAAATTGAACAATAAGGAGAGCCCTTCAGACCCACGCCGAAATGCGCGTCCTTTTCAAATTTTTCACACATTTCGGCAAGCCTTTCTTCAGAGAGTTTGTTACTTATACAGAGCGAGTTTTAAGGTTTGTTTGCCTATTTCCACTGCAAGAAAAGAAGGAAAGAAATTCAAGGAAAAGAAGTGCTCCAGCGCGTCTAAGAGAAGGTAAGCAACTCGATTGAATCGTGTTTATGAAAGCACAAAGTGATCGACAAGCATGCATGTTGTCAGATCAGTGAAAAGAACTCTTTACTGATCAGTCTATCCAAGAGCAAGTTTCAATGATTGTAATCCGAAAAGTATGCCTGTTTACTACGTTAAGGCCGTAAGTACATGCACCTTAGTTGTTTATAATTTTTGCCAAACTATCAAGTTTATTCAAAAGGATTCACTTGTACTCTTGCATGCTTATAGACCTTGCATATGGGGATCCAGTGTCTTCTGGTACCCTCACCAACGGGCCTACTGTTCTGCGTTCAAGTCCTGGTCCGGATATGTCAACGCTGTTGTTGACATATTCTTCACCAAAGAAACACTTGCAATTTCAAGTGCAAGGGGAAGTGACAGAAAAGGCAAAAGCGGTGATGCAAACATTCCGTTGACCCCCCTCATCATTGATGCCCTTGTTGGTAAGTAGTGCAACACTGAATTATTTTATTCAGAAATAAGTACATAACTTGCAGTCATGGGGATCTCTAACTCACTAATTAGAACTTGAATTGACTGGGTTTTTAAGGCATTGTTGTCCTTAAAAAATAAGCAATTTAATATAAACTTGCATGCAATAATTATGATATAGAATTGAAGCAGAAAGAATTTTATTTGGACACAAAGTACTGGAATCCCAGTAGTTTCCATTGCAGCCCATTACAATTAACCTGGATTTAAACTTCCACAAAAAATGTATAAAACTGATCTAAAGGTTTTAATCTTACTCCCTTAGCCACAGCAGAGATAATTAAGACACCAGTAAATGAAAAAAAAAATAATGTCACTGAGCTTTCAATTAAGTTATTAATTTTATAAATCAAGCAAACAAAACAGAACCCATTACAATTGATTACCTCCAATCAAGCAATTTTTGTTTCTTGGTAAGGCAACATTCCACGTATAAGTTGGGGTACTGTTTTACATGTAAATATGACTTAATATTAACTTAAACTTTTTTTTTCAGGTAAAGTCTGTTCAAAGTTTTCAAAGGACTCTCCTCAACCGAGCCAAATCATACAGAAGATAAACATGAAATGTGTGGAAGCTAGAAGGCCCCCAAGAGTACGAGAGCAACGAGCAGAATGAACACTTTTTATAATTACTGTAAAACTGTTTAACTTCAAGAGTTTACCAATTTCATTATGTTGACCAAAAAGAAAATTTCTGTTTGATAATGTTGACCAAAATACAGAATAACAGTTTCATAGTCTTGGCCAAAAATAACAGTAACCGTATTATAGTGTCGATCAAAAAGAAGAGTAACAATTTGACAGAGTTGGCAAGTTAAGTCGTATTGCTTGATAAAAAAAAGTAGTGTTGTTAATGATAGTGTTGAGCGAGAGGAAAACTACCGGTTTCATAGTGTTGACCTAGAAGAAATATAAGATTTTTGGTTTTTTGTTATTTTTATTCAATTTTTTTTGCAAGAAATTTTAGATGCAATTAAAGATATGGTTTCAATGGACGAATATGATGTCACCATTACTTGCCTTTAACCTCACAGTCCCTTTAGTAATTTCTGAATCATATGGTAAAGATATGGGGCTGAAGTCAAAGGACCCCATAGTGTTCCCATATGAGATGTCAGCTTTGCTGAATGCTATGGGAATGATATGGAACTTTAAAATCCCATAGCAATCCCATAGAGAATGGTCCAGGGTCATTATGGGAATGGTATGGGATTGTTGCATACCATTCCCCTAATGGATACTATGGGGAATATATGGAACTTTACGAAATACGTAACAATCCCATAGAGAATGTTCAGCCATCATATGGCATCACTATGGGACTGACCCATACCATTCCCATACCAGATCCTATGGGGAATGTATGGAACTTTACGAAATACGTAGAAATCCCATAGTGAAAGACAATAGAATGCACTTGGCGGGCACTAGTCACTATTTATGGGTTTGATATGGGAGCTAACATCCCATATAAAAACCATGCAATGCCCATAGATTAGCCATATGTTGTCCCATACCATTTCCATATTTGGACCATATATGTTCCATATCAACAGCTTTGGTAAGGGACTCTATTTGAGTCTTCCTAAATATTGTCCTTACACATGTAACAAAAGGGCTGAGGATGTTATGTTTATGGTTGTGTATTTTAGGGGGTGTGGATGTGCGTTTCACCCAGGAACCTTCTGATCCAAGCTATTTTAACAATGGTAGTGATGCTAGCCTGGTGTGGGACTACACTGATCCACATGATAAACTTCAATACATTATCTATAGTGCTCTGGTAGATGATACATTTGTCAGAATGATGGTTAATGACAGTCATGGTGTCCAAGAACATCCTAATATTCCTCCATCTTACAAAGGAAGAGTTGAAATTCAAGGAAGAGCTACCTTGGTTATCAAGAACATCAACCCTGGAGACAATACCGAATTTAAATGTGAAATGCGGGGAAGGTTTCCCGGGAGCGTTGAAAGCAGAGTTCAGCTTGTTGTAGCAGGTATGTATTTCAGAACAAAAATCAAAAGCATTCAACTCATGTCTCTCATATTTCTGAGATCTGGAGAAAGTAAACAGTAGCATGTATACTTCTCCGTTTTTCAATTATAGTTGATTATAGCCTAAGTATGAAAACTAGTCTCTTGACTTTAATACCCTGGAAGGTAATATGTCTTATATTTTCTTATAGTGGTTGAACCAACTCAAAGAAAGTACATCAGTCAGTTTTTATATGTTTTGAATGAAAATATAGCAGCTAAAGAAATGATGAAAAGTCATTCTTGTTGTTGATTGCAATCAGTTGCGGGTAAACAACGACTTTATTTTGCCGTTAAATAAATATCGCCATCACAAAACAAACATCTCACCCAATCGGCGTGACACTGCAAAATCTAGAAAACATTTCACTAACAAATTCGAAAATGGTTTTCCCTTCTGATAGATCATTCTTCCTATTGCTCCTAAAGAACCCATTTCGAAAATACCCTAGTTTTGGGAAGAGTTTGGCAGCGTGGAGAAATTTAGCCGCGACTAAAACATTTTTCTCTCGTTTATATAATTGCAGCGCATCTTTTTATTGGATTACGCATCTCCAAAACAAAACGGGGAAAGGATATCAGTGAATATTGCCTCTTTCTTTTCAGACGATTAACCCTGGCAATTTCCAGTGACTACTAGAGGAGGGGGAATGCAATTAAGTTATCTAAGTAAAAATAATATATAGATTTAGCCAAGCCTAAAGGCGGAGCTCGCATTTTTTTTTCCCACACAACTTGTCCCAGCCAAGACTAGAACCCGGGTCGTCCGACTCGGAGCCCAGTGCACTTACCACTGGACTACTGAACAAAGCCGTGGCGTTGGCGTGCCCGCGGTACACTTGACCACGCATGTCAAAAGCAGCACCTTATACGGTCGTACGGTCGCACGGTCGTAAATCCAAATTTTTTCGGCTTGATGGGTTACCACTATTTTGTATAATTATTGGGCTACGCTCTGCCAGCTCCGCTATATATTTTTAATCATGTTCGATCTTAAGCATCCTTCACCTCTGCCGGTTTCATCTGTCGCTTGCTCGTAAACATACGTCTAGTTTCACAAGAAGCTGTTGTTGGGAAGAATTTGACGTACTTTGACTTATTTGGCTGTTTGCTTGTATTTTTTTGGTTAAACTTCAATTAAATCAAACTCTGTCGGAAATTAACGTATTAGTTTAGATTATCATTAAAGTGAAATGCTAGCCGCGTCTCTCACGACACCGCAAGCCCACACTGTACTTCGTGGAAGAGCGAAAACCAAAGAAAATGTAGTTGGTAAACACACTTTTTTAACAGAAATGGAGGTCACTGAGAACTTGAACTCGAGAAAGCTTCAAATATATGACATTTATAACCTAAAAAGCCGTGTGCGAAGAGTTATTCAATTCTGAATTTTTTGTCGTAATGGCGGTCGTTTAAAAAAATAGTTAAGCTTGAACTTTCTTTAGAGAAGAGTACGTTTCCTTGCTATAAATAGGGACATTTGCTGTCAGATGCGATTATTAACCGTGCAAAGCTCGACTATTAGGTCTAAAGCCCTTCAAACACGACTATTAATGAGTTCAATTGCGTTTAATAGCGGAGCTCGCAGAACGTAGCTCCATAATTATACAAAATAGTAGTAACCCATCAAGCCGAAAAAATTTGGTTGTACGACCGTACGACCGTACAAGGTGCTACTTTTAACATGCGTGGTCAACTGTACCGCGGGCATGTCAACGCTACGGCTTTGTCCAGTAGTCCAGTGGTCAGTGCACTTGGCTCCGATTCGGACGACCCGGGTTCTAGTCCTGGTCGGGGCAAGGCGTTGTGCCCTTGAGACGTGCGGGGAAAAAAAATGCGAGCTCCGCTTTTAGGCTTGGCTAAATCTATATATTAGTCCTACTTAATACGATTATTAATTGTGATAGGAGACGTTCTAAGGCTATTAATCGGAAGAGACCATTTCCAAGACAAATAATAAGTGAATTTTCACTCCGGAAATATAAAAGCACGCTGGAAATTAATGAACACCTGTTTTTGAATAGTTTGGCCCATAAAAGTGACCCCATTTGATGATGTCATTGTTAACTCTGAAAGATTCTAGTCAGATATGATGTCTATTATGGACTCAGGAAAAAACCAATAGCTCCATTCAAATCTTAAATCTTAAGAGAAGGCAGCCGTTTGCACACACTTATGAGGCATAACACATGAGAATGGTCTTCATCTCAATGTCGCTTGTGATATCTTGCACTTAGAATATTTAGCTATCATTACATTTGATTGAAAAGCTGGTGTATCCATTGATGATAATATCATGTAGCATCAGCTTTACTTGGATGAAAGCTGCATGTTTCGGATTGTGGGATAGATCTACTGTACACTTCCACATGATGAAACCAGCTCTGCCATGAAACTCTCTCAAGGCTCTTGTACCTGACAGATTTTTGGGAATGTTCCAGAGCTAGCACCTTTAACTCTCGAGTATAGGCCATTATAAATCTAAACAAAATTACATTGAATTCTATAATAGTTGCTGGTTTGTTCAACAACTCCTTGCAAGATTTTGTAGTATTGTCAACTGGACGAGAAGCTGCATCTGGACCCAAATTCTAATATTGTTAAGTAACTGTGGATCAAGTTGGCGTACACTTAAACCAACGATATCTTTGTTACAACTTCAGTTGGAAGCTCTCCAAATTGTTGGCTCTTAAATTCTAAACAAAGTTTAATAGTGCCTAATATAGTTAAGTGGGGAGATGGAAGATATTTGAAGATGCACAATTAGTATAATCCATCTTTAGATAGAACTTTTCGAGTAAGCCGTTCTATTCTCAAGGAATCTTCATACAGTTTCCTCAACCTTTAACATTTGTTTAATACTACGTACTGTTAAAAATCAAGTTTTTTAGTCTGTCATTAAATTAGACTTCCTCTTTTCATCAATATTCTCTCAGCTACTCTGCCTAGCAGGTAATTTTTTTGCATTTCTTATTCAAACCTTTAGTTTGCAACAAGAACACTACTTCCACTACAAAGATGAATCAAGTGTCACCTTTCCACATTCTGCCTCTACAATTCTTTTCTCACTATCTCTTGTACTTTCTTGATTAACATCAGCATATCTCGATGGTCTGGAAGATAGTTTCTTTGCTAATGTCAAACGAGCACAAATCTTGTGTCGATTAGTACTAGGAACTGCTAAGCGAAAATTTAAGCCGCCTTTTCGTTCTCAAGTTTTTCTCCTCCAATATTCAGGTTACTGTCTTTTTTGTATTTCACCAAAACTAATTAAGACTGGACCATGTCGTGTAAAAAATTAATTGTTTGTTTGTCGACTTATTTGCTAGCAAGTGCCTCTGTTTGCCTCACATTGGCTATGACCGATATCACTTTAGTTTTAAGGACCAACTCAAATTATCTCGCCATACGTTTTGGGACCATAAGTGTTGGGAAGTAGCAAAACTTTTAATAATATTAGTTTAAGCACAAATTGTTAACAGTGGTCTCCATTCAGTCCATTCTTGAAACAGGAAAATAAATTCGTTTTCTTTGCATTTGTAATGGGCTTAAGAACGTTTTATTTGTGGGTATAATTCTTCGAAATGCGGAAGAAAAGTCCAAAACTCTCCCTTCTGCAAACTCCCTTCGCAGAACAATCATGACGAAAAATCAAATGATATAATGTTTGACAAAGGAATGATCAGTACAAGGAGATGAGTAAGGTCTTCTTTTAACTTTAAGTAATGGGCAAATAGTATACAGTATGCCACTGGTATATTCTTTTTATTGCGAAGAATCCATAGTTTCTCTTTCATCAAAATTTCAGTTCTCTGGGTTGAGGATCTCTTCTGTAGATCCTTTGTCAGACCAAGTTCCAAGTGGGGTGCGGCTTGATTGGCTCTTTTCCTATTTGTTTGAGCAGGAGCAAAAATTTTATCCACTAAAATGGGAGTAGCTGAGAAGCCAGGGTCCTTAGCCTAAAGAGTGACTTCCTGAATCAGCCCATAATTCCCTGGGCTGGGGTTTTGCTTTATAACGTGGAATGATATAATCTCTTTTACCTTTCAGAGGCACTACTTATGAATATCTCTTTAAGAGGAAAATATCACATTGAAGGATCCCCTGTCACCATGGCCTGTGAATCTTCTGGGAAACCTCTGCCGGATGTAGCATGGATTAGAAATGGAGTACTGGAAAGTTCAGGGAAGAAAGTTACGTTTTTAAAAATCGATAATATAAACAGAGCAGATGCAGGACAATATACGTGTCGAGCCAATAACTCAGTGGAAGTCACTTCTATTGACACATCAATTGTAGTTCAGTGTAAGTATATTTTAACCTTAATTTTCTACTTCTGAATTTACTTTGTTTACGGTGCGAATCCTGTTATTGGTGTCAGTTACCCAGGACTGGCAAATCTGTTCAAAAGTGAAAGGCAACAGCATTCCACATCAAGTCCTTGTCGGCTTTGTATACATTGGTCCCAATTATTGGTTTTGGACAACTGAATTTGCGTGGAATCATTGCTCATGTTATTTTACTTCGAAGGATGTGACATTTTTTGTCATATCACTGCTTCAGTTGGACTGTGTTTAACTCAGGAAATGGCTTAAGACCATTTCCGAATCATTGTGACAATCCAAAATTCACTCCGTTTGACTAGCGCACAAAGCTAGCGCATATTCTGATTCTGTGTGAGGGCTCTGGTTGGGGCTTAATGGAAAGCTGAGAATTGGTCAAAATTCTGTCAGCTGAGAAATTACAGTTTTCTTTACTAATAGCTGAGATTAGCTAATAGGTGCGAAAATCGGCTTAAACTAAAACTGCGTACCTAAGATTTGCGCACATATTTGCATGTGTGACATTCGAGATATATTATTTCAGGGTGAGAATCCATTTTATATTTAATTATTCGTAAGCCTTGCCACCCTATGCTAAATACTCGACTGCCAAATAACACAAAAGTGACGGACTGTACTATGGAATGATTACAAGCTTCACTTTTTTGCTCATTTAGAGACAGGGAAAGGAATGACAAATCCTGCACTCGAGTAATTGATTTCTATGGCTTTCTGGTTTTGAAGGTTGTGTAACCTGCCAGCACTATGCCGCCCCCATATGAGAGATGTCTAATTGTTTCAGCGTTCACATCTCCTCAGATATTGGACCCCTGTTGTTCAATACAAAGCAAGTTTACTGAAGTCCATACCTCACCCTTTCATCATTCATTATTTAATTTTAGTGGCTCACAGCCAATTTGATTCGTTCATAGGTCTATTTATAATTTGGAAAGCTTTCTGTTCTTATCAGATAAAGAAAAAAACAACCAACCAAAAAAAATACAAACAAAAACGACGTAAATGTCCAGAAATGGCATTTCGCCCAAGCCATTGTAGCATTAGGGTTTGCTGCTCTCACCAATCACATTATGGCTTTAGGGTTTTCAAAAGAAATTAAAGATATGAAGTTTTTGCTGATGGAGTGAAATGAACCTGTTAAATTCTTGTGGAAACTAGCTGCTTATCTTGATACAAGTAATCCAAACTATTGCGACAGAATTTACAATGTCCAATTTACAGTATTGTGCAAAAGTAACGCAAACGAACTTCGACAAATTTCCTGGCTTTTCGTGGCTTTTCGAGGAAATTTCGCTGCGAACGAAATTTCCGCGAACTTTCGAGGCACCTATCGTTTTAGTACGTCGAAATTACGGACGATATTTCGCTGTGGACGCTAGTGAGTTGCGAACTCAAGAGGGAAAGTTCGCTCTTCTCAAAAGTTCGGCGCGAAATTTCGAGAGAAAATTCGCTCTAATTATTATAGCGAAGTGTAGTCCATGTATTGTTGTAATGAATTGCAGAAATATTCGAAATCAGTCTCATCCACTCAAGTAACTATTCTATTGTTCCTTCCTGTTGAAACATCAGTGAATATTTGAATGTTGATGTGATCCGAACAGCCAGCTGTTCGAGTCTCAGTACAAACGACCACACAAACACTCCAGGCAAGTGGAACTTAAACTGGGTGCCATTTTTTATGATAAACTTCTTCATATAACAACAGTTGAAATTCCCGATTTGTAGGCGAGACTCCGCGCGAGGAAGCGAGACGTGAACTGTTCGCAACCATGGCAACGCATGGTATACCAATGCTTCGTAAACAATTCTCTCATTCATTCATTGATCTCGTAGCTCTCTGGTCGTTGCTATGCCAAAATTATCGAACTATACTAGAACTCGAATCGAGCTCCTGTATAACCAGGGCTTTCATCCAGCTGGAATATTTAAAACCTTGAAAAGCGAAGGGTTACAAGTGAGCCTTTCAGGCGTCACTCGCTTAATCAAGAAGCTGCGTCTTACTGGCTCCGTAGCAATGACCAATGAATAAAGGCAGAGAAGTATTTGTAACTGACTTTTGAGATTCAACATCCAATTTAGCGACCAGTCGGAATACGCGTGGTGCAACTTACATCGGATTTATCGTTCTCTACAACGAAAATAAAATAGATCAGTCGAACAATGGGGAAGATTTTCGTCAGGGTGAAATTAGAATACGAGTACCAAACGACACTAGGTTTCTCTTACTTGCAAAGTAAGTTTTCGAATCCTCTTTCATACTATCCAAACTTCCCACGTTAATAACGGAATTCAAATTTGTTCATGTGTGAATGTAATCTGCGAAAACTAAAGAAACATTCGGATACCATATTGGCCAAAAACGTGTGTACTGTTCATTGAAGTCAAAAGCGATGCAGAAGATTTACTATTACAGCAGCATCTGATGACAATGATCAAAAAAGTTTGTTTTGTCTTTTCTGGTATAAAACCAAACTTAAAGTCTTTATTCTTGGTAAGTTCATCGTGTCCTGTCGTGTACTTTGTGAACGTTATATGAAGGATAGATCGCGTAAACCGCATCACAAACAATTGAGTCTATCCAGCGCGAAATTTCGCGATAAACCGACGCTTTTTATCGCGAAATTTCGCTAAAATTTCATTTCGAAGCGAAAATTCGACGAAATAGTGCTCTTTTTTCAGCAGAAAATTCGCTCAAAAAGCCTCGAATTGTCATTCGAACTTTCGCACGAAATTTCGAAGAAAGTTCGCGAGAACAAAAAACGAAACTCGGGCATTTCGCTTGCGTTACTTTTGCACAATATTGTACAAAAAACATTTACAACAGAATTTGAAAACATAATGGAAGTTATACTAATAACAGCACTCATTCGCCTCAGGCCCAGTGAAGATTGTTGAATAATCGCTTCAACCTCGTCTTGGAGATCGTTCAACAATATTCACTTCACCTTCCGCAAATAAATATTAAATGTACAGTACTGTGCAGAAGTAACGCAAGGAAAATGTGCGAATTTCGCTTTTTGTTGTAGTGAACTTTCGTCGAAATTCCGGGCGAAGATTCGAGTGAAAATTTGAGGCTTTTTGAGCAAAAGTTCCGTTGACCAAAGATGGCTATTTCGTCGAATTTTTCCTTTGAAACAAAAGTTCATTGAAATTTCGTGATAAAAAGCGTCATTTCGCTGCTTGGATAGACAAGAAACTTAAGATTCCGAAGAAGGGATCAACTCTGCCTCCTTGAAAGGTAATGCTGAATCTAAAATCTAATGATCACTACGCGTAATTAAGTATTGGTTGTAAATGAGAGTCAGCGATTAGCGTTGCCGCAAAACACAACATGCGAAGTTTGGCGACAAATTCTTCTAAAACTGAAAAAATCTATGTTTGCTGATACTTACTTTTCCTTTTGGTTTTTCCTGTTTTTTTCCTTTCTGTTTGTAACCTTTCTTTCCCGCTGTTTCATTTATTTTTGCCAAGGGTGACTCTGGAATCTGCAAGTAAGATCAAAATGTAAATCTCTTCAAGTTAATAAGTATAGGTATGTCAAACTTAAAGGCAGTCTATTGAGCGAATACTTACAAATTTTCTCTTTGCTCTTGTTTGGCGTGGCGGCAGGTCGCTCTGTGTGAAAGTTTACTGAACCTCAACTTCCAGCGGTTGCAATCCACAATTGCTTTGTGCTCCTTGCGAGTATTTCTAGGGATCACCTTTACTTTCTGCCCCTCTTTAAGCGGGGACGAATTGATGATTGTTGAACGGTAAATGTCCGAATACTGTTCACACTTCCAGAAGATTCTAACAACTTTGTTTTCCATGATAGATTTTCAATTTTGATGGTAGTAATAATAGTGGCTGAAGCGCACGACTTTGGGCTTTTACACTTCTCTTACGGCTAAGTCAGATCGAAACGTCTGTAATCTGATTGGTCTCTTCTAGTTTACATTGTCATGCAAATTACCTTGTTGTTTGCAGCTTTACGTTGATAGTTACTTGATAGTTTTGTCTCAGGTCGTTTAAATTACAAAAAAAACAAAACAAAAAAGAAACATGATCATTGATCATTCTTAACTTGCCCGTAAAGTATTATTATTGCTATCGGAAGATAATCGAAAGCAGTTTTCCTTTGTCTTGCTTCATGATGACGTTAGTTTCAAATCCCGAGAAATAGGTGGTGTTTGGAACTTAAAATTTTCAAAGTTTGATCCGTTTGCCAGCAGAGACTCCTAAAGGGAAGCAAGTTGCTTTCTGAAAAATTTCAACGTGTTTGTGATCATTTTCAATTTTCGCATCCTTAAAACCAAAAATTAGCTAAAATTTAAGATCTAACCTAACGTATGATTTACATTTCATTCGATCTGATAACGAATTCCATTCATAAGAACGAAACTCATGTCACAGGTTACGTTGTCACTCTTTGTGATTAGAGTGGTTTAGCAAGAGGACGGGAACGTCATTTCAGAACGGGAAAGCGCGCGGATAATCTGGACACGATTCTATTTCGACTTCTGGTGTTAGCGTTGCCGTTCTCCCCATAAATTTCAGGACGTCATTTCGCTGGTTTTCCCGTCGTGATCAAAACGCCTAGGATTTCCGTTAATTGTGCACTTATAAACGAGATAATGCTGTTTGGAATGATTTCAGAACTCATTTCCAGGACAACCAGGTTCCTTTCTTTGTTTTATTCGGTGAATTTGTGAAAATTTACCGCTACATTTATTCTGGATTCCCGAAAGGAAACACGATCGTCAGCAAGCGATCTAAGATTTTAGGGCTCAGTTACCTTTTGTAATTGAGCGTGGCTTTAAGCAACGCGAGGGCTTTTCTTTGATACATTTCTTAAACCATGTATGAAAACTCTATGAACGGGTGCTGTTAATTTTTATCGTGAATTAATTCATCTATAAATTAAACTTGCTTCATGTTGAAGTTTATCAAAATGAAACAACTCGAAGGCTACCTGCTATATTATTCAGTGTTATTTGTTGTCATTGTCGTTTTAACCGTAATTTAAAAGTGTTCTGTTCAACACAACGCGACGGCGTTCTCGACCCAGTTTTTTCTCGGCATTTTTGCTGCGCGCGCCGTTCTGAAATGACGTTCCCGTCCTCTTGCTAAACCACTCTATTAACACAATGAAAGGACGCCAAGTCCGTTGCTGTGAACTTAATGTATTTATACGCTCTTTAAATGTTACAATATACTACTACATCTTAGCTTTTATTCTATGTAAGTTTCCTGCGGTTCAATAAACATTAGCGAAAATTACTCGACGAAATTCACCTTGGTTTCGCTTTGCACAAACAGATCATAATCTTCGCGATATCGACATATTAAATTTCATTTAACGGTTAACGCTCCATAATTGAGTGGCTACACACAACCTTAGAGTTTTTTTCTTTTGCTTTTTTCCCTTTTCGTAGCGCTTCACGCAAACTGATTATAATCTTTGTCATTTCTGCATGTTTTGTTTGATTGAACAATTTTAGTGTGAGAAACGAAGTTTGTAAATGACATCCCACTGTTTAACTATATCAATATTGTAGAAAATTATTTGTGATACAAAGATCTTGTTGATTATGGACTTTCATCAGGTTTGGTGGCTTCTAAAAGAGCCATTTTCAGCGACCAACGATGCGATGTCAACAGAGAACTAGGTGGAGCAAGGCGCGGTGGCTCCAAACAGAGCCGTTTGTAATATTTCGCTTCGTTTGTAATATTTCCTCTCCCAGAACTTCTTTATACAATTTACAAGCTTGCTTGTTGTGAGGTTTTACTTTTAGCTCCAAATAGAACTTGAGTTCACGCCACAAGGTTTCCACGGGCTTAAGGTCAGGACATCTTCAGGGGCAGTACGCCACCAGTTGATTTTTTCCTCCTAGAAGAGAGCTTGCGCTCGCCTACACGTGTGTAACATTGGAAGTATTTTTTTTTTCATATATATATATATATATATCAAAATCTTAACAATTTGAACCAAACAGTTTTAGGAATTGTGTCTAAAGTTTCTATTTCTTACGAACTTAAATTTTTGGTCCAAGGTTTAGAACATAGTGAAATAAAAAAGAGAATTCGGCTGTTGATTTACTACAGCCATATCGAGAACCATGTTATTCTACCAAAAGCACAGTTATCCATTTCTGGTTTAAAAATAATTTCAGATTTCCAACAGTTTTGGATTAGCTAGAAGAATTAGGTTGACAGAAGAAAAGAACGATTTACAAAGCTTAAACCATATTCAAAATATCGCGTTCAAAAATATATTTTAAGAACTTGATAACACTTCTTGTCCTTCTCGTACTGATTTACTTTCATTTACTTTCAACATCTAACTACGATGCCAGTCAGCAGAAATTGTAGAAATGATATCAATACAGTATGGCAGAATATCCCGAATTGTGTCTGGGAAATTGCCTTCTTTTCAACGCGGTAGAATTACTATAAAGGTATCCAGGAATTTGTGATGAATTCCTACCTTCATTTAGTTCCCTAAGGTTTTTCATTCAAACAAGCAGTTTACTTACTATTGCCCGTGCAAATTTAAAATACTTATCATAACTGTTTCAGACTCTCAGGAAGTAAAACGAGTGACGATAGTATAAACACAACCTGACCAAAATCTCCCTGGTTTTCGTTTTGGTTTTTCGCTCTGCTGCTGCTAAAGCACTTCGCAACAGCAAACTTGAGGAAGCTTGGATTGTTGACAAAAAACTGAATGGTTTGTTTGCATTTTTGGTAGTGGAGTCGAGCCAAAACATCCGTGATGATTTTGAAGATGGTCCTCTACCTAGAAGCATACCTATGAGGCCCTTAACTTGAGGTTTCTCTTAAATTGATCAAGGAAGGCTCTGTTCCTCAGGAATTTCTTAGATCAATATATCATCCTGGTACCGATTGAGGAAAGTAAGGAATGTCTTAGATTCAAATTTGTTTTCCGCTTTTTGCGAGATGAGATCCTCTCACGTGCAGCGTCTAGGGCACTGTTGCACTCGTCTCCTCGCTCAAAATTAAGGATTTTCATCAAAAATGTTTCATGAGCGACAACGTTTTTATTTCCATTAAAACATAAAGCTTGGCTTCACAAATTGTTCATTTTATTAACAGAGGATTTAAAAATAGCTATCTTCGTAAAAAAACATAGTTGGTGGGGTATTTTTCTTGCTGCAGTAATGCTGTTGTTTTCAGTGTGCAATGTGTAAGTTAAAGTATTATGCTTATAGTCTAACCATGGCTAAATGACTTGCTAAAATTTTCCATCTCCAAAGCGTTATGTTTTCTGCCCACGGCACTCCATGGACTGATAAAAGATTAACCCTTCTTTGTTGCATTATCATGCACCCTCTAGACTCTAAAAGAGGCTATGATTTATAACCAGGCGAAATGTATGAGCGATGAAATAAACTGAGATGAAGATTTTGAATTGATTTTAATTTTTAGACAAACCAGAAGGTGTGAAGCTCACTACCAATGCTGCACAAAATACCGTCACTGAAGGAGACACTGTTACATTCAAGTGCATAGTTATGGCTGCTGTGCCACAAGTGTCAATTTACAAGTTCTATTTCAATGGCAGCCTCCTAAGGGAGAACAGCAACAGTGAGTATACTCTCAATAACGTCAATCGATCTCAGCACCATGGCGAATACAAATGTGTCCCACATAATGACGTTGGAGTTGGAGCAAAAGCCACCGTGAGACTTCACATAAAGGGTAAGTAGAAACATCTTTAAGCATTTTTAAGTACTTTGGATATATAATCCAAAACGGGAAAAATGTTTTGTACCAGTTTACATTGCGTCAATAAAACTTCTCACACAGTGAATCATTACAACTCCAAACAGGGAGGAATAGAGACCCTGGTGATGAGGTTGACGTTTTGTGCCTGGCGATCAACACATGTGCTAGTTAGCAGTATTTTCAAGCAGATGAAGACATTTGTTGATGTTCCTGGTGTTTTGAACAGATTTTCGAGGATGGGGAATGTTTTCTTCAGATGTAGTGTGTGATGTCAGTTTCAGTTGAACTGATATTTTATCGAAATGAATTGAAATATTGGTTTGCGAAAATGAGCCAAAATTTAAAAAAAAAAAACGACAATGAGAAACCTCGAGTTAAGATACCACCAGTCAATTATATGCTGACTTCAATCCTAATAAGCCTGGGAAACTGCAAGTGGTGTTTGACTGCACAGCCCGTTACAATAAAATATTCCGAATATGTCCTGACCAGTTTGAGACAAAAGTACTGGATCTTCAAGGGACGAGCCGCTGTTTGAAGAGTTCTTAGTAACTGTTTGACATGCCGAAGTTAAAATGCTGCCAAGGGCCAAAAATTAATGTTACATTTACCTGGCAACAGGCTTATTCCAGATAAACCCCCGTTTTCTAACGTTGGCATAGATTTCTTTTGTCCACTGTACGTGGAGCAAGACAGTTGAAAATTATGGTGTCTTTTCTCCTGCTTGATTATTCGAGCAACCATATTAAAGTGACCGAGTCTTTCGAAACAGATTCGTTTATTAGCGGTCTTTGCATATTTACCAGAAAAAGAGAGACGCCAAAGATGATAAGGAGTGACAATGGTGTGAACTCAAGTCGCCGAGAGAAATTCGTGAAGCCTCAAACAACTGGAATAAGCAGAAGATTGAAGTTTTCCTACACCAAAAGAATATCAAGTGGAAGTTTAATTTCTCTGGTGCATCACACGTGGGAGGAGTCTGAGAACGCATGATTCGTTCAATGAGAAAGATCTTAAGAGTCCTTCTTAGGCAAGGGTTGGTTCTGGAAAGGCGCTGCGAACGTTGATGGCAGCAGTTGAGGAAATTCTCAATGGTCGACCATTGACTCCCAACAGTGGCAGTTCTGTTGATTCAGAATCTTTGACTTCTAACCATTTGTTACTTTGATCGCATTTAAATTAGCCACCAGGAGTCTTCGTTAAGAATGATTTGTACTGCCAACGTCGCTGGAAGCAGGTTCAATACCTTGCAAGAACGGCAGAAATGGATCAGACCACGTGATACTTTTTCCTGATGAAAGAGTTCACCCTTATCAATGGCCTTTGGGTCGCGTTCTCGAAATTCACCTCGGAAGGGATGGATTTATCTGATCTGTCGAGGTTGCGACAAAGTCCTCTTCATTCACGAGGCCAATCTCAAAGCTTTGTTTCCTCGAACAAGAGATCCTACTCCCGAAGAAGGACTCTACTTCATCTACCTGACTATCGCGTTGTTTAATGAAAGTGAAAAAAGCCTTTGAATCTGTGCACCAGATGTGCGTGAACTTTGAACACTAGCGGACTAACCTAACTCTTACGTTACTTATCATTTGAATTATAGTCACCCAATACTTAAAGTAAACTTAAGGGGTTAGAATGTAGCAACATGAATTTGCATTTCTGTCTATTGTCAAGTAACTGCGAAAAGATCTTATATTGTTTTTCTTTCAATTGAACTACTATTGTGATGTTCTGTTTCGAATCAATTAAGCTCGCGTTTTTGCAAGAGGTTGTGTAAGAATTACGTAGTGCTGGTAGCGTTATATTTCTCGCTAGTATAGGCTTTGTTTTGGTTACACAATTCTCATTACTCGTTGATTTCAAATAAGTAAGTCGTTTCGTTAGTTTTTGCTTACGCCGTGTTACTTTTGCCCAAGAGTTTTAATACCAGACCTGGTTACGCCACAAATTGTAAGTTCGTTTCTATTTTTGTAGCTCTGTCGTTAGTCTTGTTGTCGTTATGTATGTGCTTAGATATTTGTATTAATTAATTATTTTCAGTAGAATCACATGTACACATCCTTACATCTAAATATTCGCCTCGCGGGCAAACAGATTAGCTATGCATTCATTTTGTGGCGTTAAACGTATGGTCTTTAGTTACAGTGAACCATTTATATCCTGATAAACCTCGACTTTAATCGACAAGGATTTTGCGAAGACCATAACCCATTACACTTTCTAAATGAATGAGCCCAAACTTTCTGGTAATGTCATTCTTTGTGCACAGCTCCTTGATTCCACGACACAATTTGCAAGAGAACACTGTGATTGGTGCAAGTTATCCAAATAATGTGATATGATTGGTGCGAGATACAAACCCTTATGCGGCAATCTGATTGGTGCGAGGTACATACCCTAATGCAGCGATCTGAAGTCAGCCGTTGGTCTCTGGCCTAATTCGATCAGTTAACGTTTTCTGCACGCAAAGTTTAACACTGCGAACCTGGCGCTAGAAAACCTTGTCCATTTTACTTGGATATGCGCTTTTTCTTGGTTTTAGAAGAAACCATTAGGCTCCATCTTAAAATTAAATAAAATTAATTATCAACATGCATAAACTTAACAGATTAACACTTGACACTTTATCACTTGACATTTTATTTCAAACTTGGCCCCGTCCATTGATATCTTTTTTTTAATTGAGTTTAACACTGAAAGGTCAGTTTTGTTCTAAGATTTTATGGACCTGTCTGTAGTTCTGACATTTTGGGTCCTTTTTAGTGGTAGTGTTTACAATGATAATAATTATAATAGTATCAATGATAATAATATTGATGACAATGATATGAGTAATAATAAAAGTTTTAGGAAGTATAGTCTATCATACCCTAAACCTCCGTGAAAAAAAAAATTTAAGTTAAGGTATTATTATTATCATGTGGTTTGAGGTTGGTATGATGATTACGTAAAATTTAAAATTGCTTGTCGATCATTTTAAGTCGTATTTTGTTTTTCCTCAGTTCAAACAGTTTCAAGTACAGTTGCCACTTCATCCCAAACAACTCCCGCAGGTAACTGTTTTTATAGGCGTTTTCTTTGCCACCATGTAAAACTATATCATCATAATAGCATGTGCTTTGGTGTTACGAAATGAGTTTGAGTAAAAGACCAAGGGCGAATTAAGTCACTAAGGGTCTGGAATTTAGCGAAGGACTGTAGACTTACAAACAGTCATAACACAGACTGCTAAATCTATATCAAAATTGAAATACTTGTTTGCAAAGTTGTTACTATTCCGTAATTACCTTTCATCAAAGGCAAACTTATACGATTATGTGAATCTAGTCAGGTGTCATGCACGACTCAAAATATCTTTAGGCGTGAAAGGCTGTACCTTCCACTATGGAAGGAATAAGAATAAGCATAATTATAGATGTATAAATGTATTCTTTTTATTTCTCTTAAGACTCCTTCCAATATTTTGAGGCCTATTATGCTGGCCATCTTCAAACACAAATAACATGATTCATGAGGCTCTGCAAAACTATTTTTCAAGTGGGTTTGGGGGGGAATGAACCATAGTATTCGTTCAAAAAATATAATTCAATCCCTCTGTGGGCCTACTTACACATGTTACTAGTTTCTGTATCAAATAACAAAACATTGTGAACAAGGCTAATCGTTACATGTTTATACTATTGCGTGTATTAAAACATAAGTTTACTCTCGAGCTCAGTAGCACACTCTGTCAGAACGATCTCTGCTGGGACAATGTTCAAGCTGAATTATTGCAAGATAGAACCACTTCTCAGCAGTTGTTGAGAATCAAGACTCTTCATGTTTTTTGTAAACGTAAAAGGACACGGCCTTCCTTTAACTTCAGAAAGCACAGAAGTTTACCTGACAGCGACGATACAGGGGAACTGTAGCAGACGTTCAGAAGTTGCTGCGAAATTTCCAGAAATGGTTAGATAATCTACTTGATCCGTGTACCGGAGTGTACATAATACTGTCATAAGATTTATCATTATAATCAAAAGGGAATCTTAATCAATCTGCTCTTGAACGAAATCTCAATATTTCTGTTTAAAAAAAATTACATTCTGAACGATCTTCAACTATGAAACAAGTATTCGAATTTACATTTTTTCTTCAAATGTCCTTCTAGGCTTGTCAAATTGCCTCTAAGTTTGGCTGCTCATCCGCCAACACCGTGAACACCAGGTAAGGTGCAGTTTGTCTCGACACTGAAACAACAAATGGTAACGCAATCTGTGTTTTGGGGCGGGGAGGAGCTCTATCTCAGTTTGGCGTATTATAGCGTTAAACTGGTGTCTCTGCTCTGAAAAAATCTTCTTTAATGCAAAATAATCTACATTTGAATGCGTCTTACTCTTTTCGGCACGGTGTTCGATTCGGCATTTTACATCCTTCTCCCCTTATCTAGGTGTGGCAGTGTTGTTCTCGACTTCATGATGAGGTTCAATCGAAGTGTAGTCGTCAGCAGTGTTTTGACTGTCCTGTTGGATGCTGCGAGGCAAGGCAAATTCGGAGGTTTTAAAGTCGATCCAGAATCAATTAAACAAGTTTTTATGCCCGCAGACGACTCGGAAAGCACAACGAAAGGTACCTTTTACAAAGAAATATTATTGTTAAATGTTTACACGTATTCGTCCCGAAGATGGACTTTTTCTAACTGTATTCCGTATCTGTTAATTAAACAACTCAATCCTGTGAGTCACATATTTCTAAGTTGTGTTTTTGTCGCTGTTGTTGTTTTATTCAATCGAACAAAATGTTTCTTTTAAAAATTATTATAGAGAGAGTAGCACCTTGCTTTTCCTTAGTACCTAGCCAATTAGAGTTAACGGTTTTCGTTTATGAGCGCAAGCTAGGTAGTGAGAGCAGTGTACTGACCACGATCACTGTAAATGTTGTTTGAATGTTACCTGATCAAGCTTTGTAAAATGAATCATTTTAGGTCCTGAGGAATGTAACT